ACTAATATGTTATGAATACAAATGCCAAAATCCAGCAAAATCCGGCAAAATATTAGCAAATTGATTCTAGCCATATATAAACTGGGTTATACACAAGCGAGAGAAATTATCCTAGGAATGCAAGGTTGGTTTAAAATGCAAATATCAATTAATGTAAAACACAGTACTGATTGAATGAAGGACAAAAAAAAAATCACATGATCAGCTTACTAAACAAAGTAAAAGCATTTGACAAAATCCTAGCATTTCATGGTAAAAATACTTCACAACCTAGGAACGGAAGGGAACTTCCTTACTCTGATAAAAGCTATCTATGAAAACTATGCTTAATGGTGAAAGACTTAATACATTCTAAGATCAGGAAGAAAACAGGACATTCTTACCACATCTATTCACCATTGTAGTACAGGTTCTAGCCAGGGCAACTAGAGAAGAAAAGGAATGAAAGGTGTTCATATTGGAAAGTTAGAAGTAAAACTATACCCCTTTTTGTAGTTGTAATGATCTTGTATATAGAAAATCTTAAGGGATCCACTAAAATCTATATGAAGAAATAAGTGAATTCACATTTTGCAGCATACAAGATTTATAAATAAAAATCAATTATGTTTCTATACACTAACTGTCACAGGTTAAATTGTGTCCCCCAAAGAGTTATGTTGAAGCTCTAACTCCTAGTATCTCATAATGAAGTTACTTTCAAATAGGGTCATTATAGATATAATTAATTAAGAGGAGGTTATAGTGAGATAAGACTGGCCCTTATTCCAAAATGACTGGTATCCTTATAATAATTGGAGAAGACAGTACCCAAAGAGGAAAGAGGTTATGGAGGCAGAGGTTGGATTTATGCTACTATAATCCAAAGAGTACCAGGGATTACTAGAAACTAGAAGAGGAAAACAGGGATTCTCCTTTAGAAGTTTCAGAGGGAGCATAATCCTAACAACTTAATTTTAGATTTATGGTCTCTAGAACTGTAAGAGCATAAATTTTTGTTGTTTTAAGTTACCCAGATTGTGATACTTTGTAACAGCAGTCTTAGGAAACTAATATACGGTGACCAACATTCCACAAATGAAAGAAAACAACTCCATTTAAAATAGCATTGCAGACAATAAGAAAGAATTTAATAAAAGAAGTGTAATACTTCTTTTGCAATGAAAACTGCAAAATATTTAAAGAACTTAAAGAAGACCTAATTAAATGGATAGACATTCCATTTTCATGGACTGTTAGATTTAATAATCTTAAAATGGCAGTGCTCTGCAAATTGATCTACAGATTCAATGCAATCTATATCAAAATCTCTGCTTTCTTTTTGGTGAACTGACAAGGGGATCCTAAAATTCATGTAGAAATGCAAGGAATCCAGAATAGCCAAAGAAATCTCAAGAAGAACAAAGTTGGAGGACTCAAGTTTAATTAATTTCATTATTATTTTAATTATTTTTTACATTTAACTAATGTTAAAACTTAATTCAAGGTTGTAGTAATCAAGACAATGTAGTACTGGCATAAGGTTAGACCTATATACATCAGTGGGATAAAATTGAATGTCCAGAAATAAACCCTTACATTCATGGTCAATTGATTTTTTAAAAAAGATTATATTTATTTATTTGATAGACAGAGATCACAAGTAGAGAGGCAGAGAGAGCGAGAGGAGGAAGCAGGTTCCCTGCTGAGCAGAGAGCCCGATGTAGGGCTCGATCCCAGGACCCTGGGATCATGACCTGAGCTGAAGGCAGAGGCTTTAACCCACTGAGTCACCCAGGCACCACTGGTCACCCAGCCACCCAGGTCAATTGATTTTTAACAGGGAGGCCAACACAATTCAGTGGAGAAAAGAATAATTTTTTTTTAATTTTTATTTTTTATTCAAGTATAATTAAAATAGTCTCATATTAGTTTCAGAGGTGTACAATATGATTCAACAATTCTATACATTACTTGGTGTATTTCTTAATCCCTTTATCTGTTTCATCATCTACCCACCCACCTTGCCTCTGGTTACCACCAATTTGTTCTCTATATTTAGGAATTTGTTTCTTGGTTCGTCTCTCTTTTTTCCTCTGTTCATTTGTTTTCTTAAATTCCACATATGGATGAAATCATATGATATCTTGTGTTTCTCTGACATATTTCAGTTAGCATTGTTCCCTCTGGAGCCATGTTGTTGCAAATGGCAACATTTCATTCTTCATATGGTTGAATAATATTCCATTGAATGTGTATCTATCTACCTACCTATATCTGTATCATTTGTATCTATACATCTTCTTTATCAGTTCATCTATTGATGGGCACTTTGGTTGCTTCCATAGTTTGGCTATTGTAAATAGTGCTGCAATAAAAATAGGGGTATATCTTTCCTTTAGTGTTTTTGTATTCTTTGGTTAAATTCTCAGTAGTGTGATAACTGGATTTGTAAGGTAGGTAGTTCTATGTTTAATTTTTTGAAGAACCTCCATACTGTTTTCCACAGTGGCTGTGCCACTTTGCATTCCCACCAAAAGTACACAAGGGTTTCTTTTTTTCCATCCTCCCAAGCACTTGGTATTTCTTGTGTTTTTTTATTTTTTATTTTTTTTTATTTTAGCCATTATAGGAGGTTGGAGGTGATATCTTACTGTGCTTTTGATTTGCATTTCCCCAACGATTAGTGTTATTGAGTATTTTTTCATTTGTCTATTTGCCATGTGTATGGTCTTTGGAAAAATGTTTATTCATTTCTTTTGCCCATTTAAAAATCAGACTTTGTTTTTTTTTTTTTTTAAAGATTTTATTTATTTATTTGACAGACAGAGATCACAAGTAGATGGAGAGGCAGGCAGAGAGAGAGAGAGAGAGAGAGAGGGAAGCAGGCTCCCTGCTGAGCAGAGAGCCTGATGCGGGACTCGATCCCAGGACCCTGAGATCATGACCTGAGCCGAAGGCAGCGGCTTAATCCACTGAGCCACCCAGGCGCCCAGACTTTGTTTTTTGTTGTTGTTGACTTCTGTAAATTCTTTATATATTTTGGGTATTAACCTTTTATCAGATATATCATCTGTAGAAAGAATAGTCTTTTTAATAACTGATACTTGGATACTTGGACTGGGATATCCATATGTGAAAGAATGAAGTTATATCCTTTCTTTATGCCATCCACTAGAACTAACTCAAAAATTACCAGAGACCTAAATTTAAGAGCTAAAATTATAAGCCTTTTAGAAGAAACGTAGGAATAAATCTTTGTGGCCTTGAGCAGGGTAATGGCTTCTTAAATAGGACACCAAAAGCACAACCAACAAAATTAAAAATAGATAAGTTGACTTTCATAAAATTAAAAACTTTTGTACTACATATGATACATCAAGAGTGTGAAAAGATAACTGATTGCAAAAACTATTTACAAATCATATATTTGATAAGGGACTTGTATCCAGAATATATAAACTCTTATACCTTAATAATAAGAAGATAAATAACCCAAATTAAAAATGGGCAAATAATCCTAATATACAGTTTCTGAAGCAAGATATACCAATGGTCAATAAGCACATGAAATGATGTTTAACATCATTGTCATTAGGCACTTTCAAACCAACACTGCAGTGATATACTACTTCACACTCCTTAGGATGGCTATAAGGAAAAAGATGACAGTAACAATTGTTGGCAAGGATGTGGAGGAGTTGGGACCCTTGTACATTGCTGGTGGAATTGAAGTGGTCTGTCTGTTATGGAAACCAGTTTGTCAGTTCTTCAAAATGTTAAATACAAAGTCAGTATATGACCCAGAATTTCTATTCCTACGTTTAATACCTGAGTGATTGAAAACATATATATGCAAAAACTTGTACATGGATATTCATAGTAGCATTATTCATAATAGCCCCAAAGTGGAAACAATTTAAGTACCCATAAACAGGTGAAAGAATAAATAAAATATATACACCTATACAGTGGAATAATATTTGGCAGTAAAAAGGAATACAGCACTGATATATGCTACAACATGGATGAACCTTGAAAACATTATACTAAATGTAAGAAACCAGTTTCAAAAGACCATATACTATATATTTTTATTTAAATGAAAAGATCCAGATAGATCTCTAGAGACAGAAAGTAGATAGTGTCTACCAGTGTTGAGGCAGTGCTGGGAAGAATGAGGAGTGACTGTTAATGGGTACAGAGTTTCTTTTTGAGGTCATTAAATGTTCTAAAATTAGTTAAAATAGATGCTCAACTTGGTGAATCTATTAAAACCCATTGAGCTGTACACTTTAAATAAATGAATTTGATGGTATGTTAATTGTATCTTTAAAAATCTTAAAAAATTTGAATTATAATAAATAACTCATTTGTCAAAAAAATCTATAGTTTACCCACACTTAGAACAGTGTTCAGCAAACTGCAGCCCATGAGTCAAATCTAGCTAGACCCATTCATTTATCTATCATCTATAGCTGTTTTTGCTGAGCTGGGGTAGTTGACTGATCATCTGGCCTACAAAGTCTAAAATATTTCCTATCTGGCTCTTAATAGAAAAACTTTGCCAAATCCTGCTATGGAACAAGAAGTGGTATTTAAAAGGAGTGAAATATGTCTGTATTACTAATATAAGTAGATATTAGACATTGTATTAAGTGAAAATAAGTTTAGGACAATGTATACATTGATGTCATTTATGTGCAAAAAGAAAACAAAACAGTCACCTGATCCACTAACAAAAATTATATAATTAACTAGGTACATGTAGCATTTTATGAATACATCAAACAAGTTCTGAAAAGATACACAAAAATCTGATAATCTCTAGAGATAGGATTGGACTTTTTGGAATGGTAGTCAAACTGTACTTTAACCTTTATTATATTACCTTATATATATATAATATATAAGTATGTTACACATATATATTATATATATAATATATAAGTATGTTACATAAGTAAAAATATAAATGTAAAAGGATAATACATTATAGATATTTTTGGTTTGTTTTTCAGAGCTGTGAGTGATCAATGTTTGTTAGAAGCTGTAAGTATAGCACTCTGTTTGAAATTATACTTTGCCCTTGATAATGTTAGACTCTAGAAATTATCAGGATGCATAATCTTAAAGATTCAGTACTTCCTCAGTTTATTTAAGAAATTTCTATGCATATGTGAGCTGGAAAGCTTTGTCTTTTTTTGTTTTTACTAGATTTTATTATCACTCAAAACCACTTCATTTATGAAATATTGAACTTTAATACCCCATTGTCTTCTAAATTTCTATTCATTGTTACTTCTAGTTTGTTTGCCTCTTTGAGCCCCAATTATCATTCATAATGCAGATTAATACCAATGGTTCATTATTTTCATGAGTTAATGAAGACTTTAATAATTAAGTGTCCCAATAATTTGTCTATATTGAAATGTATGCTTTTCATTGTTACTAAAATTATAATATTTGCTTTTAGAAATACAAACAAATGGAAAATAATTTTCAAGTGTTATTAGAGGAGAAATTAGGGCTGGAAAGTGAACTACAGAAGTTAAAGAATCCTGAGGTTAGTTCAATTTTAGTGTCTGAAAATGGTAGAATACCTAAAAAACCTTATTTTGTAGGATAGAAATTAAAGATATATTTAAATGTTTTATAATACATTTTTGATATTAATAGTTAACAGCTGTGCTTTAAAAAATAAAATAAAGCTATTTTCTAAATTACCATATTAGCTATTAAAACCAAAAAGATGCTATGAAAAATGGACATAAAATTTAAATATTCCAAAAGACATTTCTAGGCCAAATATTTATTTATGGGTGGGGGGTGGGAGGTTGGGGGAACCAGGTGGTGGGTATTAGAGAGGGCACGGATTGCATGGAGCACTGGGTGTGGTGCAAAAACAATGAATACTGTTACGCTGAAAAGAAATAAAAAAAATTTTTTTTTCAAAAAAAATTTCAATAAATTAGAGTTTTAAAATATATTTCATTTCTTTTTAAGTCCTAAAAAATTTCCAGTTAACATACAATGTGATATTAGCTTCAGGTGTACAATTTCCTTATTCAACCCTTACATATAACACCCATTGCTCTTCATAACAAGTAAACTCCTTAATCCCCATCACCTGCTTAACCCATTCCCCCACCCACCGCCTTACTGGTAACCCTCAATTTGTTCTGTACAGCTAAGAGTCTGTTTCTTGGTTTTCCTCATTCTTTTTTTTCCCCTATGATCATTTGTTTCCTAAATTCCACATATGAGTGAAGTCATATGTTATTTGTCTTTCTCTTATTTTTTAAAAGATTTTATTTATTTATTTGAGAGAGAGTGAGAGAGTACAAGCCAAGGGGAGCAGCAGAGGGAGAGGGAGAAGCAGGCTTCCCACTCAGCAGGGAGCCCAATATGGGGCTCGATCTTAGGACCCTGGGATTATGACCTGAGCTGAAGGCATATATTTAACTGACTGAGCCACCCAGGCACCCCTCTCTGACTTATTTTGCTTAGCATAATATTCTCTAGTTCCATCCATGTCATTGCAAATGGCAGGAATTCATTCTTTTTCATGGCTGAGTAATGCTTCTGTGTGTGTGTGTGTGTGTGTGTGTGTGTGTGTGTGTTCACACACCACATCTTTTTTTACCCATTCAACAGTCAGTGGACATTTGGACTCTTTCCATAATTTGGCTATTGGTTGATAATCTGCGTGCACATATCCCTTGGAATTAGTATTTTTGTATTCTTTGGGTAAATACTTAATAGTGCAATTGCTGGATAGTAGATAGTTCTATCTTTAACTTTCTAAGGAACCTCCATACTGTTTTCCAGAGTGGCTATACCAGTTTGCATTCCTACCAACAGTGCAAGAGGGTTCCCCTTTCTTCATCTCCTGCCAACATGTGTTGCTTCCTTAGTTGTTAATTTTAGCCATTCTGACACATATGAGGTGATATCTCATTGCAGTTTTGATTTGCATTTCCCTGATGATGTTGATCATGTTTTTATGTGTCTCTTGGCCATCTGGATATCTTCTTTGGAAAAATACCTATTTATGTCTTCTGACCATTTATTAACTGGGTATTGAGTTTTACACATTCTTTATATATTTTGGATACTAAACCTGTCATCAGATTATGTCATTTGATAATACCTCCTTTCATTCCAAAGATCACCTTTTAGTTTTGTTGATTGTTTCCCTCTCTGTGAAGAAGCTTTTTATTTTGATGTCCCAATAGTTTATTTTTGCTTTTGTGTCTCTTGCTTCAGGAGACATATTTAGTAAGAAGTTGCTACAGCTGATGTCAAAGAGTTTATTGCCTGTGCTCTCCTGTAGTATTTTTTTTTTTTTTATAATTTTAATGTATACAGCCACAAGCTGGAGATCTTATTCAAATACAGGCTCTGATTCCATTCTGGGATGGGACCTGAGTTTCTGCATTTTTTTTTTAAAGATTTCATTTTATTTATTTGACAGACAGAGATCACAAGTAGGCAGAGAGGCAGGCAGAGAGAGAGGAGGAAGCAGGCTCCCTGCTGAGCAGAGAGCCCGTTGTGGGGCTCTATCCCAGGACCCCGAGATCATGACCTGAGCCAAAGGCAGAGGCTTTAACCCACTGAGCCACCCAGGTGCTCCCTCCTGTAGTATTTTGATGATTTCTTGGCATTTAGGTCTTTAGACATTTAGACATTTAGGTCTTTAATCCTAATCCTTTAGTCCTTTTGTGTATGGTGTAAGAAAGTGGTCCAGTTTCATTCTTTTGTACATTGTTGTCCAGTTTTCCTAACATCATTGGTTGAGAAGACTCCTTTTTCCATTGGATATTCTTTCCTGGTTTGTTGAAGATTAATTGAATATGTACTTATGGGTTAATTTCTGGGTTTTCTGTTCTGTTCCATTGATTTATGTGTCTGTTTTTGAGCCAGTACCATACTGTCTTGATGATGACAGCTTTGTAATAGAGCTTGAAGTCTGGAATTGTGATGCTTCCTGACTTACTTTGCTTTTTCAAAGTAGCTTTGGATATTCAGGGTCTCTTGCACCACACAAATTTTAGGATTGTTTGTTCTAACTCTGTGAAAAATGCTATTGGTATTTTGATAGGAATTGCATTAAATGTGTAGAATGCTTTGGATTATATAGACATTTTAACAACGTTTGTTCTTCCAGTTCATGAGCACAAAATGCCTTTCCATTTCTTTGTGTCATCTTCACATTCTTTCATCAGTGTTTTTTTTTTTAAGATTTTTTTAATTTATTTGACAGAGAAAGAGAGATCACAAATAGGCAGAGGGTCAGGAGGAAGCAGGCTCCCTGCTGAGCAGAGAGCCTGATGCAGGGGTCGATCTCAGGACCCTGAGATCACGACCTGAGCCGAAGGCAGCAGCCCAATCCACTGAGCCACCCAGGCGCCCCTTTCATCAGTGTTTTATGGTTTTCAGAATATAGCTCTTTTACTTCTTACTTACTAGGTTTATTCCTAGGTATCTTATGGTTTTTGGTACAATAATAAGTGGGATTGATTCCTTGATTTCTCTTCCTGCTGTTTCACTGACATGTAGAAATGCAATAGATTTCTCTTTGTTGATTTTTGTATCCTGAAACTTTACTGAATTCTTGTATCAGTTCTAGCAATTTTTTTGGTGTAGTCGGATTTTCTATATAGAGTATCATGTCATCTGCCAATAGTGAAACTGTGATTTCTTCCTTGCTGATTTGATAGTTTTATTTCTTTTTGTTGTCTGATTGCTGTAGCTAGGATTTCCAGTACTATGTTAAATAACAGTGGTGAGAGTGGATATCCCTGTCTATTTCCTGACTGTAGATAAAAGCTCTCATTTTTTCCCCATTAAGAATGATATTAGCTGTGGGTTTTTCATATGGCCTTTATGATGTTGAGGTGTGTTTCTTTTACCCCTACTTTGTTGAGGATTTTTAGAATGGATGTTGTACCTTGTCAAATGCTTTTTCTACATTTATTGAAAGGATCATATTGTTTATCCTTTCTTTTGTTAATGTAGTGTATCACACTGATTGATTTGTGAATATTGAACCACCCTTACAGTCCAGGAATAAATCCCACTTGATTTGGGTGAATTATCTTTATTTTTTTTAATGTGCTGTTGGATTTCGTTTGTTTGTATTTTATTGAGAATTTTTGTATTCTTGTTCATTAGGGATATTGGCCTGTAGTTTTCTTTGTTATTGGAATCTTTATCTAGTTTTGGTACCAGGGTAATGCTGACATCATGGAATGAATTTGGAGGTTTCCTTCCCTTTTTTTTTTTTTTTTTTTTTTTTTTTGGAATAGTTTGAGAAGAATAGATATTAACTCTCTTTAAATGTTTGGTAGAATTTGCATTTGAAGCCATCTGGCCCTGGACTTTTGTTTCTTAGGAAATTTTTTATTACTGATTCAGTTCCTTTGCTGCTCATTGTTTTTTTCAGCTTTATATTTCTTCTGGTTTCGGTTTTGATAGTTTGTATGTTTATACATTTCTAGGAATTTATCTGTTTCTTTCAGGCTTACTGGCATACAGTTTTTCACAATATTCCCTTATAATTGTTTGTGTTTTTGTATTTTGTAGTTATTATTTCTCCTCTCATTTGTCATTTTATTTATTTGGGTCCTTTCTCTTTTCTTTTTGATAAGTTTGGCTAGGTGTTTATCAATTTTATTAAATATTTCAAAGAACCACCTACTGGTTTCAATGATCTGTTGTTTTTTTTTAGTTTCGATAGCATTTGTTTCTGCTCTAATCTTTATTATTTCCCCCCTTTTGCTAGCTTTAGGCTTCATTTGTTGTTCTTTTTCTAGTTCCTTTTGGTGTTTGTTTATTCGAGATTTTTCCTCCTTGAAGTGGACCTATATTATTATATAATTCTCTCTTAAGACCACTTTGCTGCATCCCATATGTTTTGAATCATTGTGTTTTCATTTTCATATGTTTCCACAAATTTTTATTTTATTTTTTTCTTGATTTTCTGGTTGGCCCTTTCATTGTTTAGTATCATATTGTTTAACCTCCATGTATTTTTGGTCTTTCCAAATTTTTTCTTGTTGTTGACTTCAAGTTTTATAGCAGTGTAGTTAAAAGATATGCATGGTATAATCTCAGTCTTTCTGTACTTATTGAGGTCTGGTTTGTGATCTAGTATGTGATATTATGGAGAGTGTTCCATGTACGCTCAAAAAGAATGTGCATTTTACTGCTTGGGGATGGAATGTTCTAAATATATCTGTTAAGTCCATCTGGTATAATATGTCATTCAAAGCCATTTTTTCCTTGTTGATTTTCTGCTTAGATGATTTGTCCATTGATGTAAATAAAGTGTTAAGCTTCCCTATTATTATTGTATTATTATCAATTATTTCCTTTATGTTTGTTATTAATTGTCTTATATATTTGGGTGCTCCCACCTTGGGAGCATAAAGATTTGCAACTGTTAGATCTTCTTGTTAGATAGTCCCCTTGATTATTTCCTTCTTCATCTCTTGTTACGGTCTTTGGTTTAAAATCTAATTTGTCTCATAAATATTGCTACTTCAGCTTTTTTTTGACTTC